ATAGAAATATCTGGATCTCTTTGGTGCTGAAAGTAAATCTATCAGTGATGTGTGAAGATAATGATTATGAACAATCAATAAATTCTTTCTTATAGTTTCTTTCCATTTTTGGGGTATATTTGAAAGAACCTGGTAATAGTCAAGAATTGTGCCTTTAATTTTGTAAGTTTTCTTAAGTTCACTAAATGGCAAAATACCTTGATCATTACACAAGTCTCTTATAGAGTGAATACCTTTGAGATGCCAATGTCTTATAATGAAATTACTATTTTGGAATTGGTGATTGAACCAAAGGGGTTGAGATAAGATTTGATCAATATCTGTAAAATCAGTTTGATGTGTTTTATAGAATATTCCCCATGCAGCCAATACATCTTTCCAATAGGGATTCATAATGCTGACATAGTTTTCAATATTGGCTCCAAGCAGAAATATATCTTTAAATGGAAAGATACTAGGGCTAGAACTGCTATTATTTTGAAGATATTTATGTAAAACTGACAGTTTTAAAGAGTTTATGAATACCTGTACATTAACCATTCTGAGTCCCCCCTCTTCATATTTTCTAATAAGTGTCGTTCAGCTTTATCTTATCCCGCTTATCATTCCAGATGAATTTATAAAATATATTGTTTAATTTGTCAATGAATTCCTTTGGAGGATTTGGGAGTGAGGTGAATATATGCACCAATGATGAAAGTGCTAAAGTTTTAATAACAGTTATTTTCCCTATTAATGTCAACTTTCTTTTCCTCCAATTCCCTAGAGTTCTATTAATAATTTCTAGTCTTTTTCTTGTATTAATTACCCAAAGGTTATTTAAATTAGGATTAAGTCTTATTCCTAGAATATCAAAGTCCCCATTATGCCAATCAAGCTTAAGATCCTGGCATAAAATCATGCTACTACCTGCCATTGAGCCTATCCACACTGCTTTCGTTTTATCTATATTTATTCTTAAACCAGACATTTTGTAGAAATTATTGAGAGTGTCAGTTGCTGCCCTTAAACTTTCTCAGCCATCGAGAAATAATTCAGTATCATCTGCATACTGTCCAATTTTATGTTCAGTGTTATTCAATGTAATTCCTTTTATTGCAGCGTTGTTACGGATCATTATTCCTAAAATTTCAGCCACTAAGATGAATATATAGGGAGAGACTGGGTCCCCTTGTCTACAGCCCCTTTCATTGTCAAAAATTGTGATAAATGACCATTCTGTATAACACATGATGTAGCATTATTGATTAATATTTTGATCCATTTTTCCATATTGGGTTCAAAGCCAAACTTTCCAATTGTTAAAATTATAAATTCTTTAGAGACAGTGTCAAAAGCTTTTCAAAGTCAATAAGCAACAAGAGTCCTTTTTATCTTGTACTTTTGCTTCAAACATAATGTCGTATAATAATCTAATGTTCTCGCTAATACACCTTCCAGGTATAAAACCTGTCTGAGTTTCATGAATAAGAGTATTCAATGTTGTTTTAATTCTATTGGCTATACATGTGCTGAGTATTTTATACAAAGAATTCAGTAGGAAATTGAAGCCAGTTTTTAACAACTGTCTATTTTGTTAGCTTTTGGGATACATGTGATGACGACTCTGTTTATTGTTGGACTTAACATATTTTGCCTGAATGCTTCTGATATATATCTACAAACCCAAATATGAAGATCTTTCCAGAAAATTTAAAAAAATTCTATTGGGAAACCATCTACTCTTGGGCTTTTGTTATTTTTCATTGATTTAACGGCTCGTGTTATTTCATCTATAGTAATATCACCCTCAATATTTTCAGCCTGTACAGTGTGCAGTTTGGGTGTAATAATATCATCAAATATATTAATATATTTATCTGTTATTTTACCACCTGATGAGTATAGATTTTCATAAAATTGCCTTTGTTCATTTAATATAGCCTTACCATCTGATATTACTTCCCCTTTGTCATTGAGAACACTATTCATAAGCTTACTGGTATAATTTCTATTTTCGAGATGACAGAAATAGTTGGTTGGTTTTTCTCCGTCCTCGTACCACTGAATTCTATTTCTTATCTGTATACCTCTTATTTCATCTTCTTTTAATTTTTCAAACTCTAATTTACATTTGGATAGTTCAGAAAGTTTAGTTTCACATATGGTTTGGAAATTTTCTCTGATTTCTTCTTCCATTGCCAAAATTTTTCCTTCTAAATTTTTGCTTTTTTCAGTTTTGATTTTTTTTAAGTAGGAAGAGAATGATATTGTTTTCCCCCTCACTTTCATTAAAAATGTTTCTAAGAACAAAGTGTCGCTTATATTAAGTTGTAGTTTAGAATCTTCAATATCACCTAGTTCATCCTCAGTGCAGTTACAGTATTCTAATTTTGTTTCAAAAAGCATATCCTTGACTGTGTTTACATATTCTTGGTTATAAAGTAATGATGTATTTAGTTTCCAGTATCCTCCACCTCGTTCCTTATTAAGTTGATTAGAAAAAGACATGGTAATTGCTGAATGATCAGATTTATATCCTGGAAGTATTGAACAGTCAGTTGTCATGTTTGCTAAATCTTGAGAAACTAAAAAGAAATCAAGTCTGGACTGTTGTTTAGGGGTTTTTTTCCACCATGTGTATTTCTTTACATCATAATTTCTCTCCCTTTCATCTTCATAGTTTTAATCCTTAAGCCAATTGCTTATATAAACACTGATTACAAGTTGACTCACTTTAAAACCAATGATATACTTATCTTTTTACTCATACATCATGAAACTGACCTTCCTTAATTCCACTAAGTCAAGTCCATTCTCTCAATAGGGGTGCATTTCCTATTCCCTATTCGCCTACATGTTTTCTGTAGGCAAAATGGGATGTAGGCGAAATGGGATGTAGGCAAAATGGGACTCAACCGGGTCAACATGTCAAATACGACTGTCAAGAATTTGTGAAACTAAAGTGTTGTCAACAAGACTTTCAAAAATGTACTGGTCCAATAACCAAGGCCATTCCAAAAACGTTTACCGAAATACAAGGCCAGCATAAGAAAGTAACCATGAATTTTACACACAAGAACTTGACATAAGCTTAAAAGTTCATTATACTGGACACTATAACTATTTTATATATGTTGATATATAATGTGTATATAGAGAGGCAAGGTTCATCAGTGTACAGTAGTAAATATATACAGAAATCCACAAAATATTGGCACTACATGAATTTCCCTCTTACAAATTTCAGTTATATCTTTAGGAAAAATTAAATTATATACTCATGGAAACAAATAAAGAAACACACGAAAGTGCAAGTATAGGAATACTCTTTTCCTGGTTTCTTGTCATGCTTTATGTTGCACTGTGGGTGAAAATCTGGAAATGAATAAAGGAATACTTATACTTTCATGTTTTCCCTTATTCGTTTCCATGATTACATATACACAGCTGCCTAAAAGTTCTCTCACCTTACATGTGTGAGCTATGTCTGTAACACGGAACAGGTTTCAAATTGAATTTTATAAACAGATTCAGTGAATAGTGAGCATGATGAAAAGTGTGACATTCAAATCTTAATTTAATGTGCAACCACTGACTTGTGTTCACCAGACCATAAACACAAGGTCAGCCAGTCTTAATTAGTTCTTGGGTCATTGTATAAACAATTCCATTATGGTCCAATCTTCCACGCAGAACTGTGGAAAATTTGAGCACCTGAATTTACATATGCTTTCATTGCTGCTTTTATTCGCACCATGCATTCGTTTCCCCAGCTTAAAATCAGATATTTTCTCTCACTCCACTTTGGAGTTAAGATGATGTTTTATCTAGGACTCTTAACTTATACTGTTAATTACTAGAGGATATTGGAAATGATTGTTAACTGACCTCCTATCAAACTGTTATCTTTACAATCACAGGTTGTGACCATCTATATACAATCTCATTCAGTTTCAAAAATTTGACACTTGCTAACTCTCTATACTGAGTATTCGTACTTGGAGATACAAAGGTAACAGTTTATTATAACAGGATATTGGATAAGTACAAACTTTATGGATGAACAACTTCTATATTCAGGTGATGCGACGTTTTGATATAGATTCTTGCATTGTTGAATAAAGAAGTTGTTTATCCATAAAATTTGTCCTTATCTGACTCTCCAACTTCTAAAAATGCCACTCACTGAAGGGGGAAGTTGGTAGTGAAAGTGGCCGATCTATGGCTTCATCCTGCAGTCTCAACACTGCCACCTTGGACTAAGCAGTATCATGAGGCTGTTTGATGGATGAGGCAGCTGAACACAACTTGACATGGGCTACCTTCTGTAATGATAGTGAGCATATACTTTGAGACAATGTGTATAAACATATACACATACCAATTTCCATAACATAAGAGGGCTTCGGTACTCACAACTTTACTGCTTGTTGTACATGAACATGTTTAACTAAACTTTAAAGTCTGTTGCATTACCATGTTGGTTCATAACTCTAGGCATGATCGGCCATAAACTGACTATTACTGGATAGTTAAGAACCGTCATGGTAGGTCTACTTAGAACAGTCACCGTATCTCACTGGTGACGTCACAACACGACCCGATCTGGTGGTTAAAGAGTCTACAACACTGTTTTCACCCTTAGGAACAGTGTCTGAAACTTGTGTAATGTCTTGACCACTCACTGTTGGACAGTCATGAATCGCAGTGTCACTTGTGCTTGTAGTAGTAGGTAGGTCCTGTTTAGATCCATCAACCAGTAGGTGTCCTCTATTTCTCCTGAATGTTCCTTGTGGAATACTGATAATGTATCTGCATGGAGTATCTGCATTGGACATCACTATGGATGGTGTTAACCACTGTTCCAAATGGATCTTGATGTGTCCAGGCGTTCCTGGTTGCAGGGTTATACATATGCTGTATTTTGAAACATTCAGAGAATGACTTTATAAAAATGAATTTGCCATTGTTTAGATATGATAAACATGAAGCCTCACATCTTCTTTGTTATGTTTCAGACAAACTTCAGCTTCATTCCTGCCACCAAGCTCAGTGCAGGATTACGATTCCGCTTCAATGTGACTGCTGTGACAGAAAATGGCATCAGTGATGCAACAAAAGTGACCCAGTGGGCAGTCATGCCTCCAGGTACCACCAGACATCATCAGTAGAGCATAACCTTCTGTGTAATGACTAATGTTTACCCTTCTTTCAGCCTTATTCCAGCCATATCATTGAATTGGAAACCAAGAATATGCTTTACTCATTGTATCAGTGTAAAGAGCCAAAACTTGTATGTGTAGAATAAGGCACTCCTCCTTGGTTATGGTTGGGAAAGTAAGACCCCGAGACCGGTGGGTGGGGAGAAGTAAGACCGAGAGTGCTACGGAAAACATTTGCACATAAAAGTTGATGTTTGACGATATTTTTCAATTGATTTCAAACACTCACATATCATCTGAATTTGAATGTTGATGTTAATATAGAGTTAGGAAAAAGTAAAACCGGGAAATAGGTCTTACTTACAAAAAGTAAAACCTGTGAGCAAACAAAAACCTCAAATGCGGTTATTCTGGGAAAAGAAGCCATGTCTAATATATAGTGAGACGCAGCCTTCAGGTTTATATGACTTATCTCCTACTGCTGTCCTGCAGTAAAGTGAATAGCTTCTTGTAGATTTGTTGAGCAGATGTTTTTAGCTCTTCTGGTCAATGTAGAGATGACACCGGTCTTGACTTTAGGGGGGGATGGTTGGAGTTGTGGATGTATTGATCCGTATGGGTAGGTTTTCTGTACACAGAGGTCTGGAGTTGGTTGCAGGAGGTACGGGATACAAGGATGTCGAGGAAAGGTAGTTGGTTCTGCTCTGTTTCAATGGTGAATTTGATGCGGGGATGTTGGTTGTTGAGATGGGCCAGGAGCTGAATTGGATCTTGCTGAGGTTGGAGGGGGTCGAAGGTGTCATCCACTTTGCGGTACCAGCAGGAAGGTTTGAAGGGTGCAGTTTCTAGAGCCTTATCTTCCAGGTCTGTCATGTAAATTTCTGTTAGGATGGGGGATAATGGGGAGCCCATATGAAGTCTGTTGAATTGCTCATAGATAGCAGGCAGAGTTGAGGCTGATGATAGAATCGGTAGAGAAATTACATGACCGATCTGGAAGATAAGGCTCTAGAAACTGCACATGTAAGCTCATGTACCACTCCAGCTTGACAACGGTACAAGAATCTGTATTGAAACGTCACACTCACGAAATATAGAAGTTGTTATCCATAAAATTTGTTCTATATTGATTGGGAGCTAATTGATAAAAGCTGTAGCTTCATTTGCTCTATAGTCCGATGGTATGTAGTCCCCTTGGTCTCTGATGATCAACTGTTTGTAGTGGCAGATTTCAATGGCTTCCAAACGTTTTCTCTTTGTGAAATCCTGATTATTGGTGGATAGGATTTCACCTGTGTTGAATTGGATTAGATGAGGGAATTGTTTTTGATGGTCTGAAAGGGTTGATTTGCAGTCTGCCTTGGCTGTTGAGGTTTTATGCTCTTTGATATTTATGGGACGGGAGTTCTTCACCTTCTTCAGGTGGATAATCCACCTGAAGAAGGGCAAGAACTAGCCCAAAAACATTGTGAAAAATAGATCAAAATGTTGTTATCCATAAGATTTGTCTTGCATTACTACACCAACTTCTAAATGCCTTTGAAGTATTTCGTCAGTCCAGTGTTTGCCACAACACACAATGTATATATCCTTCCCAATACTTGGTGGTAGTCACACTTTTAGCTTGAAAACGATGTAAGAATCTTCACTGAAACATCTCTCTGTGCACAAAATAAGAAGTTGTTATCCACACAGTTGAATACTTATTGTTATTAATCCAGTTGTGGAAGAAAGGGCTAGGCAGAAAGTATCCCGGAGTATAAAATTATCACACTAAATAGAGGATATTATATGAGTGCCCATGTCATACTATGTTTACGACACAAGTGCCTAAATGTTGGTATTTCCCAAGCGAGAGCGAGAGATATGCTGATATTTAGGCATGAGTGTCATAAACATAGTATGAAATGGGCACAAATATAATATTCTGTTTATTACCGTAGTCGTCAAATTGAGGAAAATAAACCTAAATGATTTAAACATATTTATTTCCAAGGAAAGAACCGGATTGGTAAACAAGCATAAGCTTATATGAATACCACTCCGGGATACAATGGAAGGAAGAGTAATAATGAATGTACAATGTGAATGATTATATAAATGTTGCAAAAATGAGAAATAATGCCAATCATTGTTAAACAGTATATGTCATATGAAGAAATTATTTTGGATCAAATCTGCCTGTTAAATTTATGAACAAGTGCACTGAAATTAAAAGTTCTTTGTTTACTATCGAGGAACAGCTTTGATTTCCAAACAAAATTGATTTTAGGTCAAATCCTTTAGTATAAAAATACATAATTTGAGGTATATCGTTGTAAAGAGTACATGAGAAGAAATAATGAGTAGAGTCTTCATGGTTGTGGCCACAAGAGCAAGATGATGTTGGAGATATAAATCTTTCATATTTGTGCACATTTAGGTCACTACATTCAAGTCTGAGACGAGAATGTATGATTTGACAAAATCTGCTACCGAAATTTAAGTCAAAATGACTGTAGATACTAGAATCATTTAAAAGTACATTTTTGAATCTCAATAGGCATGCTGATTCTCTATGTTCAGCCGGTAATGAATTCCATAACTTAACAGTATCTGGAAGAAAGGACCTTGCATAATTTACAGATTTACAGTTTATAGTCTGAAGATTTGAATCACCATGCAGATTATAACCAACGATATCTGATACTCTAGGCGGAACAAGGTAACTTGGCGTAGTGTTATTAACCATTTTGTAAAACATGGTCATTTTATGAAGGTACCTTCTACGATGCAACGGATGACAATTAGTTTCTTTGTATATTTTATGATGGCTGGTACCACGAACAGCACCACACACGGTTCTTAGAGCATCAAGGTTGAGCTTTTCAAGTATATCTGCTTGCTGTTTAGTACAATTATCCCTTATATGACTGTAATAATCAAAAACTGGTAATATGAACTGTTTGTACATGGTATCTAATGTTTTTCGGTTTAAATGATATTTGAGACTTCTTAGACAATTCACCATTGGTGCAACTTTTTTAGCCCAGTCGTTAATGTGTTCATTCCATGAGCAATCATGCTGAAGTATAAGACCTAAATGTTTATGACTTTGTACGGAATTAATGACATTACCATTCATGATTAGGTTCGGCATTGGAGTTGGTTGCAATTTACGAGTAAAGCATATTGACTCTGTCTTATTGGGATTAAAAGATACTTGCCATTTTTCTGCCCATTTGGCAATTCGCTGTAAATCATCGTTCATTACAATAGCAGTTACCCCAGGATCATCAATGATCGCATATAAAGAAGTATCATCCGCAAAAAGGCGTATGTTACTATTTATACCTTCAACTATATCATTTATATAAACAATAAACAAGAGCGTCCCCAATACTGAACCCTGGGGTACTCCAGCAAATACAGCTTTTGTATCAGATCTAAATCCATTAATTATGACACGTTGTTCTCTATTTTCAAGATAACTCTCAAACCATTTTAACAAATTACCCTTTATACCATATCTTTTTAATTTATAAATGATACCCTTGTGCCAAACCCTGTCGAATGCTTTGCTTACATCACAAAATACTGCTCTTATTTCTTTTCCTTTATCTACTGCACCGGCAATGAAATCACATTAATACGTTAGTTGATTAACAGTAGAATCGCCTGGTTTAAATCCTGATTGGATTATGTCGTTATCTCTGAAATAATTGAAGACGTGTTTGAAAACGCACTTTTCAAAAACTTTAGCCAGACAACTTGTGAGTGCAACAGGTCATTTATACTACCTTTTTTATGAATGGGGATGACAGAGGCTTCCTTCCAAACTTGAGGAAAGGTATTTTCAGAAAGGGATTGGTTAAAGACATCTGATAGAGGGGCAGCCAACAATCGAGCGTTCATTTTCAGAAACTTATTGCTAATTCCGTCTGGGCCTATTGCTTTTGTAGTATCTACAGAAAAAAGAATATCATAAACTTCGTTTTGGTTGAGATAAAAGTCACATAAGGAATTATCAGTATATACAAGTAACCTCTTCAATATTCCTGTCTGGATAACTAACTTTTGTTTGATTTGTGAAATATTCATTCATTATATTAGCAATTTCAGTGCTATCATCATAAAGTTGATAATTATTTAATACTGGAGGAAATGAGCTTGGTGAATTTTTGCCTTTTGTATAATTTTTAATCAGACGCAACCAGACTTTGGTTCCATGCTTGTCATTAATTCATTTATCAATTTTGTCTGTATATAGTTGTTTTGCTGTTCTGACGGATGATGTAGCTTTATTTCTGTATAGTCTGAATTTTGCCCAATCGGAAGGTAAGTTGCGCCGTTTAGCAATCTTGTGTACCGGTAAGCAATTACGTTTTCGGATCAAACTCTGAGTTTCGTTGTTCATCCATGGCACATCTTTTGGCCTGATAGTGACAATTTTGTTAGGCACGTGTTTGTTACGTAGATTAATTATGGTATTGGTTACTTGATTTGCTATTTGATTTATGTCACGAGAAGAAAGTATTGTATTCCAATCAAGAGAACTAAGTTCATCAGTAAGGGCTTCGATGTCGGTTGAAGTATAATCAAAGATTATTTTTTTATAAGTAACTGTTTTAGTTATTTTTTCCTTCAAAGTAATATACACAAGACAGTGATCCCTACATATAGGATCAAGTACACCGGATTCTAGTACAGTAGCAACATGTGAAATAAAAGATAAGATCAATCAAAGTACTAGAGGTAGGGGTAGTCCTTGTAGGATCGGTTATGATTTGAGATAACCCATTCATCAATCTGATTTGATCAACTCTGCTAGAATTTGTGGTGAGAATATCTTCATTAAAATCACCAGTCACAATTGTAATCAAGTCAAGATCAGCAGCGTTACCAACAGATTCTTCTATTAAATTCCAATCTGCCCTATAAAATGTCCCAATGAGGTAATTTTGTTTCTTGCTTCTTATTTTAACCCATATTGCTTCAAGTGCAGGCAAGTCTAAATCATACAACTCCACCCCTACTCTGTCTATCTTTTCTTAATGGTAAATGGAAACCTGGAATTTTTATATCATTGCTGTCTATACCATGGTGCAGCCATGATTCTGTAATACAAATGACATCGTATGATTCCAGTTCAGCCTGGAGTATATCTAGCTTATCTCTAAGACTCCGTACGTTTAAATGTATTATCTTAAGATCAGTGTTTCGCAATGGCCCGGGATTTGGGTGAACATCGCCACAGATCAAAAGAAGAAAAATGATGATCAGAGAAATTTCTTTGGTATGAAGACATAATATCGAGAAATGATAACTCTGTTTTCTAAATTTACAGGCAGATTTGCTATTCATATGACAAACAAATGAGCCCACCGCTTGTCTATATTGCATAATATCAATCATTTTCAAAAACGGAAATACAAGTGTTATGATGGGTGGGCTCATACAAAAATATACAGTAAAGAATTAAACTAAGTGTTGTGTATATAAAATACACATATGATGTCAAGTTATTTGGCATTAGGTAAAATGTTGATACACATAATACAAAACATTTTAACTTCTGAAAAAACAATGTGGTTCCTTGTGTTAAGAAACAAGTTATGACAATAGTTCTCAACGATGTAATAAACTAAAAGCAAAATAATTACGATACCACAGAATGAAAGCTTCATCTGCAGTAAAATATGAAAAAATCATGGTGGACAATGTGTTACTCTGACATAACTGGGACGCAGGGCAATCTGACGTACGTTTCAATAACGCACGTGCTGCAGTGTCTGAATAACGCACGTGCTGCATGAGCATCTATCACATGATGGCATGTTGTGGAGAGTGGAGGGCAAAGCGGGATGGTTTTTGATTTGGAAAATGTAAACTTTCTTAATGGATTTATACAGTTAGTTACATATAGTTACAGTTGGAATATTTGAAACGTGAGTGTGATTTTGATATACTAAATCTACTTTCAAACACAGGCTGGCTATCCGCCGTCGCTGCATGTAGAACGCAACATCACAGAAGAAACGTGACATCATAGCCTTATTCATGACGTCACATCACCATGACAAAGTGATATTTTGCCCTAGGGCATCGTATGAAAAATATGAACCCCGATATGTTCGCCCTCGCTTGTATTCTTGTGACTTGAGATGTAAGATGAGAGGCAATAGCCACCTCCCCTACTATACCCATGAACAAAATTGAATAATTCTACATTAAGGCAGAATATACTTTCCAAATCTTTCTAAAACAATCTCAGGAGGTACTGATAAGGTTGTAGCACGTGTCTAAATATAGCACTTACTATAACAGAATATTATGTGTAAATTTATTGAAAGTAATTTTTCAGTGATATACTTCCAGTCATGTGAGTCATACATTTTATCCAGCCATATATGCCTCTAATTTTTCCAGCAACCTCCAAACCTCAAGAGCCAAGAGAAGTCCAAGTTGTTCACCAGCAAGTCAGGCATGGTAAAGTTGCTGCCCTGGTTAGATGGAAGCCAGGCAAAAGTAAGTGAAGATAGTTGTTACATAATTTCTTAATTGTAAAGAGTGGATAAAATCCTTCTGTCTGTCAGAAACCGATCATATATGACAACAACAAGGCTGAAGAACACGCAGATTGTGAGCTAAAGATAATCACCACTCTGGATGCCAAGGGCACCAAGTCCAGCCCAGGCCAGATCAGTCAAAACAATGGCATTACAAAATCAGTTGCAAACTGCAAATCAAACTGCCAAGGGACTGGTTCCAACAGGCTAGCATGCCCAGAGGGTGCAATATCATCCACAAGAAAAAAAATGGTGATTTCCAAAAATTTCCAGTTTGGAAACATCATATTTCCAAAAATTTCCAAAATTGGAAACATGATATTTCCAAGGTTTGGAAATTTTGGGAAATTTAGGAAGGATTTTACCACTACTTCTTTCAGTTTCTCCTTTTCCCAAGGATCCCCATGAGTGTATAGACTGTGTATTCGTCCTCCTATGCGATCAACTAGGAACCAATTCTATATATTAGTATAACCAGGGAGACTATATAAGACGTTGTAGATTATCCCTGGTATAACTTCACTCATCTGCATCCTTGTTGTTCTAAGTGTCAAAAATTGATATTGACTGTAATATTTTTACCCTTGGTATGGCTAGCATTTTCCAAAATACCGTTTTAAGTGTATGTTTTACTTATTATCCACAGAAGCGCAAATAGTTTTTGACCTGTCTCAGTTTGCATAAACACAAATTACATAGACCAACGTTACATCATGGATTAAATAAAAGTTTACCAGACCCACTGACTGACTGGACAGGGTTTATTACATGACATAAAAGTGAACCCTTGCCAGGGAATAATAGGCTTATTGTAGTAGAATACATGCTCTAATTGATACCCTCTAATTAACACCTGTCACAAGGGATGGACCGTTTGGGGGGTTTATCATTTCGTAATCAATAGTCAACAGACCATGAAATTCACGAAATATCATCAACTTGTTAATAGATAATTGGTTATGTTGTCCACACACGGGCGGACTGAGGCAAAAACAACCCAAATGAATTCCTTCTTAAAAACTTCATAGTGTAACTAATTAATTTGGTCATTTACAATAAAAGGTGACTAACTGTTTAATGCATTATTCATTTTAGATCACGTTAAATAATTTCTAGAGAAATCACTACACAAGTATATCACAGATGATTCCAGAGAGAAAACAGTTCATGAGATTCTAGTTTATGAAAAGCATTAAATTCCAAAATAAGCAAGCCAATCCCTTCTCTAATGCTCAGGAATTATTACCACTTACATGACAATAGTTTGAGAAGGTGCCGACTCTGGAAGCCGACCTTTCAACTTTTATAAGGCTCAGGACGTTGACAAGGGGTACGTTTTTAAGTTTGTGTGTTATTTTAGCACATTGGCTAATCTCATGTGACGTGTTATTACAAGCTGGTGGTTGATGGAAGTGAACACATCGCACACGGAAGCCGACCGTGTAAAAACATGATTAAAAGAATCATATGATGAACACATTTAAAAGGGCACTGATCCAGAGCAATTTCCGCTCACTGGTTGTTGCTTTTGTTATTGTTTTTCTCCCCTGAGTACCCGGATGATATCCCAGTATTTTCGACTGGTTCGTGACCTTTGCTGCGCCATCCGCATGCGCAATTGATAGTATAGGTATAGATTAATCAACAAAAATGAACAAATGAAAACATTTTGAAGTTTAATCATCTGCCAGTGGTAAAAAACGTCAGGACTGAAGTCAATGTATGTCTTTATATTTTGTCTTATAATCCGAATTATTTTATAGTCATATTTGTATGCATTTTGAAACTTAATAAAAAGCATATGATCTGCTTATATTTATAGGGTATTTATAACATGACTTTATCGCATGATATTGCAGTAAGAACCCACTTTCCTGAGAAGAGGACTACAATGAAGGAAAAACAGAGACGCAACTGTGGATTTAATGGCGATGGTGTGGAGGTTCTAGTGGGCTACCCCAATCTTGAAATAGAATGCTAACAATAAGCCTAAAAGATTTTAGCTATGTGGCAACTAGCGTCGCCAACATAATTGTTACTAGCCAAAGAATGCTGAGGCCCAAATGACGGAAACGTTGCAACCCGACCAACGCCGGGGGTCAAAATTGGGACCGAACGCCGCCAGGCCCAGCTGTGTAATTGCTAATCTATAATTAATGCTAAGACCCCAATGACGGAAACGTCGCAACCCGACCAACGCTGGGGGTCAACAATGGGAGCAAACGCCGCCAGGCCCAGCTGTGTAATTGCTAATCTCTAATTAATGCTAAGGCCCAAATGACGGAAACGTCGCGAGGTCTAATTGTGAGCTTAACGCCAGCCAGGCCCCGATACTTAACTTAACTGTTACTAGATTCCCGAAAGTGAAAACCGGGAAAGACTGGGTTCCAACTGGTAAGAAGGTAACCCAGCCGAGGTTCCCGTTTGAAAGCAGGTAACCGGAAACCCTAATTAACATATATATATTCTTATGAGTTATGTTGAAAGGTAGCCCACAAGAACCACGCCACCTAGCACAACAGTGCTACCCCACACCATACGGCTAAGGCTGAAGATACGCGTACCCGCCATGATTGCCTCATATAAGAAATTCACTTACCTCTTTAATATGTACTTACTTGAAAATTTGCACCAAGGCATCGTTTATGTCGTTGACGAATTGATGAACCCCTTTAGTGCTAAGGTGTGTCCCATCCCACTGGAACCAGGATGGGTCCGTGGCCACTATATGTGGATGGGGGATTGCTACAAAATTAGGAATTTACGTAAAATGGTTGGCTAGACGCCTGTTTAGTTTGGACCTACTGCGGTCCACCTTACGTGGGTCCCGTGCATTATGCCAATTACGGCGTGGCAAGATGTTGGAATATACTGGAAAGAAAACGCAGTAGTAGCATCGGAAGTCATTTACAGGAGTTAGAATATCAGTGCCCTTTGGATACATATTCAAACAAATAGGTCGGTTGAATGTATGAAGATTTAAAGAGAGTGCTTGATATTATTTGATTACATTTACAAAAAGTAACTGATGTGCTAAATTATTTTGTTGGTAGCCGAATATAGGACTGATAGCATTGTGACTTCCACCTGCCGTACTGCTGGATGAGATGTGGGGGTACCCCATTCATGGCTGCTGTAGTTGCTGCTCCAATACGGAATGAATGTGAAGAATAGTTTTCAGTATTTATGGAGCTTAGGGCAAGGCTTTTTAGTACGGCTTGGAATTGGTACCTGGTTAGCGGAGTATGGTCGAAATGGATGAACGCTGGAGAAGGGCCTAGTGGGCGGGCCCGCAAATAGGCCTTAAGGGCTGCTATTGGGCATGTGGATTGACCAGGTGTTGCCTCAATAACTACAGAAACGCCGAACCTTCTTGGGTCACCTTTTGAATGTGGGAGGTGGATAGTAACTGTTTCAGGTTGACCTGATATACTTACGTCCTGGATGGTGCAGCCAGGCTGTGATGTCTTTGTTTGAACTAGTTCACTTACCCTGAAGAAACCAAAGAAGGCCACGCAATATACTGCTTTGAAGAGGCATACTTCGTATGACGAGGTACAAACCTGCCTGAGATTGTTGTTCACTATTTTTAACAGATCCAGCGTAATAGGTTTTCTCCTGTCCTGCCGCCCACTGGACTTGTACATACCTGTTATCAGTTTAATGACAAGGAAATGCCTGGTGCAGTCCTGGAGGCCTTTGAATTTATGGTAAGAAGACACAGCTGCGATATAAGTTTTTACTGTGTTTGGAGAATGATTAGTGACTGACAAATGAGCAATAAAGTTTACAACCTGATCCAGAGGGACTGGCCATGTCTCCGGAAGTCGATGTACAGCTCGAAACTGCTGCAGGGCATCGATGCCTGTCTTGTAGGTCGACCAGGTATTTGTCGATAGGGACCGACGTAGGAGCCTGTCTGCTTCTTGTTCTAGATCTGCCATATGGTGTCTGGGATTGGCGTTGGTGCAGCTTTCGCTTCTGGTGCGGCTGCCTGAAAGCGGTCGAACTGAAACCTCAAGAGTGCATCGGCTATAACATTGGAATTGGTGTCAATGTATTTAGATTTAAACAAGATGTTATGATTAAAGCAAAGAAGAATAAGGCGACGGAGGAGATTCATCACCCGGCGCGCTTTGGATGATTGCTTGTTGATGATTGCCACCACTGCCTGGTTGTCACAGTAGAAAAGGATTTTCTTGTTTGCAAGCTGAGGTCCCCATATTTTGATGGCCAAGACGATGGGAAACAGCTCCAGGAAAGTCATGTCGAGTGTGGTCCCATTGACAACCCACTGATCAGGCCATCTGCCGCAAAACCATTTCCCCCGAAGGTAGGCCCCAAAACCTGTACTGCCTGATGCATCTGTGTAGAGCTGGAGATGAGAGTTGTCTACCCACAACTGGTCCTGAAAAACTGATACACCATTAAACTTTGTGAGAAATGTTAGCCACATATGCAGGTCCTGTTTTACCCATTCAGTGATTCGAATATGGTGGAATGGTTGCTTACCTTGACAGAGAAGGTCGATGAGCCGTCGGCAAAAGGCTCTACCCATTGGAATTGCCCTACAGATAAAATTGAGCTTTCCGATGAGGGACTGTAGCTCCTTTCTTGTTACCTTGGAATTAGGTTTGGAGAGGATATGCTGTATCTGGGATGTGATTTCACGTATCTTACCTTCAGGTATTCTAACCTGCATGGCCAGCGTGTCGATTTCAAGACCCAAGAATGTTAATTGAGATGCTGGGCCAACTGTTTTGTCATGAGCAATGGGAATTCCTAGATGAGTTAGCATTGCCAGTGAAGTCTGTAAGTTAGCCTGGCACTGGGTTGTGCCCTGTGATCCCCCAGTCAGAAAGTCGTCGAGGTAGTGCATGATTTGTATGCCTGGGAGGCGTTGACTTATGCACCACTGTAGGAAAGAACTGAAAATCTCAAAGACAGCACATGATATTG